GTGATTGGGTAATTAGCATGCGACTCAAAAAGATATATAAAAAAGAAAAGATTACTTATTATGACAGATCTTGAAACTTAATTAGACTTTGGTTGCAAGCAACAGACTAATGAATATCCTTTGTGGCAGACATTATAATCAAAGCATGCAATCATAATTAATCTCAGGTAAACTACAAATAATGAGACTTAGTTGGTCATGTTGGGATATTTTCGATACAAACTTTAGTCTGCCCTCACTCCTACAAAATTTACATTTTTATACTATTGTTTGGACCTGATATTATGTCTTCGGCCTGTGTAATCAAGGTCATTGGATAAATAGAGTTCTAGACCGTTGAATGTGAGAGATGCTAGTTATTGTTGGGGATATTTGATCATAATAATTGTCTCTTAATAACGTATTGAATTATCTTTGCACTTTCTTGTTGTTTGGGATTGAAATAACGGTAAAAAATGAGTTAACCCAATTTGAAAAGCCATGAAACTCGGCCCAATAATAATTCCTCTAGCCAATGGGCTTTCAGCCCAAAAGAGGATTGATTTGACAGAGTTCTTATGGAAGTAGGATTGTGAAAGGATTAAGTTTAGACGTGGCTCGGTCGAGGTGAACTGAATTTGCCAAGGATGAGAAAGAGCTCTATTTAGATGTGAATAATTCTAAAGATCAAAATTCATTCTTCGTCCGCCCAATCTCAGTTATCAGTTAGTACGCCCGCATTTACAAAAAGAATGTAGTTAGCTCATAGTTACTCAGCCTGCGCCACGTAAACTTTGTAATTCTTAAAGTCAAAAAACTATAGGGCAATGTTATTGATAGTTCAAAAATCTCATTCTATACTCCTCAAAAGTGTATTTTTATTTCCAAATATAGAAAGTAAGGAGTGTAGAATGTGAATTTTGGAGTGCTAATAACAATTTCCAAACTATATATTAAGTAATTAGCTAGGCATTCGGATCTTGGATTCCCTCTAACAAGCAAGAAATAATATAACTACATAAGCGCGAGCCAGAAACACAAAAATAAACCAATCACATATACTTAACCAACACAATAATTTACTAGTTTACTTAATATGAGCTATCTATCTCCCTGAGTTGCTATCATATGCATATTTTCACGGAGTTAAATTACAATTTAGAAGTGTTCAAGTATCTTCCTCACATGTAAGTAGTCTTTACTACAATGGTGGAAAGATGTTAAACTCTTGCATGATGGCTTGAGTTTGAACCCTATCAGTGACTAACCTTACATCTAACGTAAAAAAATCGATCATTTGACGGGAAAAAAAATAAATAAAAAAATCTTCCTCACTCACTCGTAATCGCTCGTAAATAGGGTTCACAGATCATGAATCATATGACTAGTAGAAAACCAAAACACTGCAACTTTCATGCAGTCCTCGCTCCAGTCACTCAACGGGAGCTTTCAATCTTTCCATAAGATCCGACCGCTCACCTACACTACACCGACCCGTTATTCCTCAACATATAACTAAACATGCATCAACTAAATCATTCATTGATTTCTTATACAACTCTAAAAATGTATAGGCAATCTAACATATATTATCATGTGTCTATCTCTCTTTTTCTGCACTGTATAAAGTCGCTCTCCTAGCTAGGTTCTTAAAATGGACGTGCACCGTCAAGTTTACTATTTTATGGGCCTCCTTTGGCATTTCCTGTCTAATCATATCGAACTATTAGGGTTTATTTACGATGTCCTGTATCGACCTATCGGTCTGGATCTGGTTGATGTACATTGCATTTAATTTGTAAATTTAATTTTTTCTTTCTTTTTTCAAGTGGGTTATTCTTATCATTTATTTATGTCACTTCTCTAAGGCTTTTTATATTAGCATCCCACAAAATGTTGAATGCACCCCACATTAAAACATAATATTAATGACTTATTTACTCTATTATGTAATGACAATTTTGACCTTATTAGGTTTAAAAAATAATAATAATATTAACTTTTAACGTATTATTTATCTCATTCAACTATCAAAACTCCTCACACCCTCCATTGTTGAATAAAACTCTAAGCAATGAAACTACAAACATGTTGATTAAGAAAAATTATTTTTGACGAATGGAACACGAAATTGATGTTTTGAAAACTTTGAAATCATTATTATTGTTATTGATAAACATTCAAATGAACCTAAACATTTTTTCAAATCATTCAATTTCAAATCATTCGACAAACTAAAGTTTAGATGGTTTGAAATCATTCGGCAAAATTAAAAATGATTGTTATAAGATTTGAGAAATGTGGGGTGTATAAAAAATGTGAGGTGTGTATAGAAAATGTAAGGTGTATATTAAGAATGTGGGGTGTGAGGGTATTATGGGAAAGGAGGTGGGGTGTATTAAGTATGTGGGGTTTATTCAACAATTTATGAGATGCTAATATAATAAGCCTTTCTCTAATAGTGATAGAGTCTACCAACGCATGTGGATCTAATCTTTATTATAAAAAAATAAAAAAAAAGATAGTAAAAATACAATTTTTTTTTTCCTTCTCATGACGAAACCACCAATTCAAGAGAAATGTTGTCCAATATTTGGGAAGCAATAATGCTATTTAAGTAAGGACCGACTTTCACCGCCCATTGCATCATTCTTCCTCCCTTGTCTTTGACTCGTTGTAATGCGCATGGAATTCATGTTTTTCAATTCAATTATTGACCACTGACCGACTCCACTCTGGCCACTAGCGCGTACCCATTCACGTTCAGTCCATCGACATGTCGCATGACGCAAGATATTTGAATAAAATGTCTGTACGAAGCTGAGGAATGAATGAGTAGGAAGTTTAAAGTAATTGATCGAGTAACGTGGTTTGCGGACTTCATCTTTACCAACTAAAATATACCGACACTAAATGTTTCGTTTTTCCAACAAGAAGTGGTAACGGTATTTCATTGATCGTCGCTCATAAATACAAGGGTGCCAATTGTGTGCCCTGCTCCCTAAACCATTGAATATGTTAGTGATGCTGAACAATGTGGCGTGTGAATTTCAACTTTTCGGACGGAATTAACAATTACAGGCAGCGTTTTGGGCTAAAGAAGCCGGTAGGCCCAGTTAACTGTGTGGACCAAGGTCTGAGATTGAAATCGGTCTGTCACTATTTGGACTATGATCCATGACTTTGAGTCCTTCATTGGATGAGGCCTTCGTAATATTTTTGTTTTATGACCGATATGATAATTTACATTAGATTTATCTTGTTATGAGGAGAGAAATTTCAACACGAGATCTTAGATATAAGGACAAATGCTCTTAACCAATAAATCGTACTACTAATTGGTTATACATGTATAATTTTACGAAATACCAAACATGTGACGAAGTGAATACTCTTTCTTTATGTCTCTCCTAGGATACGATCCTCTTCGGATCCCATCCTTCTAGATCCTGGACCTTACCCGCCCAGCTGAATTCCTCCTAATTTGAGGTAATTTATTCACCACTTGTCTCATTGACGGTTTCACTTCATTGCCCAATGCATATTTCAGTTAATCTATGAGTTTTTACCTTGTCGAAATGCGCAATTTCAGTATGACGAGCTAAAGTACATCGTCAACGACTACTACAATATTGCCAACTTCGACGATACCAATGCTTTTACTGGTAACCAGCTCCGGAAAAGGCACGACGCCAACTCGGACTTTGAAGAATAAGGATATGAAGGATTCAGATGAATGAAATCTAAAGAGAATCCCAACACAAAAATATCTTGTCTCTCTCATCGAATAGTAGTATATGTTTGGTTAAGGCTTTGTTCTTTCTTTTTTAATTCCCCTCCTGACAGGACCTTATAATTCAAGAGGTAGATTGTCTGCCCTCATGTTTGGGTGCTCTTTCCATCCCCTTCTATTTTATGCTGTCACGGTTAAGTTACGTTAACATTTTATATTAATTTTTTTTATAGAGATAATAAGACAAAAGACAATAAGAATATAAAATGTTAACATAGCTTAACTGTAACGTACAAATAAAAGAAGATGAGAATGGTATCCAACAATAGTGGAAATTCTTGGAATTGACATTTGCGATGCTCATTCTTGTGCAATCTGAAAATCCAGTAGCGTCATCTGGGTTTTTTCAACATTTAGACTAATATGCACACAAACATTGACTTTCCAATCGGAAAAGTTAAGCGTAAATATTTAAGTTAATTATGACATTTGATCTCATCTTAAAATCGTTAAATTTCTGATCTAAAATATAAATATTTAAGTTAATTATGACATTTGATCTCATCTTAAAATCGTTAAATTTCCGATCTAAAATATTGACATGTAACTTGTGTTTGGAGTTATTTTTGACATTTTATTTTATTTTTATTTAATTGTTTGCGATGGGCAATAACGTAGGAACAACAATATAAGTTTAATATTTATTATTATTTTAGAGGACAACTATATTTCAAGAACATGTGAAGATAAACTGGATCAGAATTATGTCATGTCGCTACACTAAGTTTGATTTTTTGTTTAAGAATAAAAAATATTATCTAATTGCCTAATCATTATCATTTTTTAGTTTGTAGAAACCCTAGATTTTTTTGCTTTGTGCAAGACAAATTTTTAGAAAGCGATTGGAGAGTTGAAATGTCCCAAATATCTCTAAATAGTCAATACTAGTTATGTGTAAGGCACACAACTTTTTCTTTTTAAAGAAAAATCTAACAAAATTAGAAACATATGATAAAATAATTTCAAAAATTTGACACCATAAATCGCTTGAAGTTTTAGTTGATATATGATATTGTTACAGAAGACATGTAGAACATGTGATATTGACACGAAACGACGTCGTCAGGCGCATTGAAAAACTGGCAAAGGGAAGCGTCCGTTTTGACTACCGGGCAAAATAAAAAAAAATCCTTTTCTCTCTTTCAAACATGGCGTGCTATTTTTCCATTACCAACGATAAATTTGACAAAAATCCGCTACGTCAACGTCATCGACGTCGTACACGTTCGCTCACACCAATCTTTCCGTCCACCCGTTCACACCCTAACCAAACCTCCTCCCCCCAGTCACAGGAGATCCCAAGCGACAACTTAACTCCTCATCAGCCACCTCCGATCTGAGAACTAAACGTGAGTGCGGCCGTTGCTTACAGCGTCGACGATAATATCAAAGGCTCCAGCTGACCCGTCACAATACCCAATCTCATCTCAGCCATCCATTACTTCTCGTCTTATTATTACACCAGCGCCACACCGTATCAATTTCTCTCTCTCTCTCTCTATCTCTCTCTCTCTCTGTGCCGGCGAGGACGAATGCGAAGTGGGGGAAGACCTCGCGACGGCTGAGTTTCTGACTTGTAACTCGTTCGGACTCGGACGCATCGGCGCGGGCCTTGGCGCGCGAGGTTTGTTGCGACGGCAAAGGTGGCAAAAACCACGGCGGCCATGAGAGGGAACGTGTGGAACCGTCGGACGGTACAGAGGCTGCGGCAGTTGCTGATCTCGACCGTTGGATCGATGAAGGTGAAGCTTCTGCTGTGCTGTTGCATCGGATTCACGCTCATCGTGCTCGCCAGTCGAGCTTCGGATTTCATGGGATGGACGAGTCACACTGCGGCTCTGGAACGGTTCTCGGATTCCCGGTTCGTACGGTTGCTTAGATTTTTTTCCAAAAACTCTACATATCCGTATTATTCGCTAATTATTTAATTAGGCAAACTTCCACTTGCACATAACTGTTAATCATTATATTTTTAGTAAATAATTAAGATCGTTGTTTATACTTTGATGTTCTACTTTCTGCTAATATCTATATTTAGAAGGACTGATTCCAAAGATTGATTAGAGGGAAGAAAACGGCTTGGTAGTCTGCAACAATTTCGTTTTTTCGAATATGAGTGTTTGATGCTCTGTTTATACCGGTATTGTTCGGGTCTGTTATGAGTTGTGGTGCATATTATGAATTATGGATGTTGTAGCAGGCATGATTCCGATGGAAACGGAACATTAGCTATTCGAAGATTTGGTCACTTTTCTGCTGGTTTTTTAGCCAGAATGGTCGCTGAGATTGACATAACTCCTCACTTTGGTATTTGATATTGAAAATCGATAGAAGTGGTCTTGAGTATGATTGACGGTGGACAAACCCAGGACAACTTGTATCGATTTTCAATGTTAGGGACCAAAGTGAGGAGTTATGTCAATCTTTTTGGCTAAAAAACCCTGCTTCAACTCATTTTCCGAATTGGATAAGATTGGGAAGATTAAGCTAGCTTTGTGTTGTTCTCATTTGCTTCTTTAAAGAGCACACTCCTAGAAAATTTTCAATTGGCTTATTGTTGATTGTATCATAGTAGAGAGATACTGTTCATTAAGCATCCATGCTGAAATTTGCAATTTGTATGCAGGAAAGGATACTCTATTGTAATGAACACATGGAAGAGATATGATCTTCTGAAGCAGTCTATTTCTCACTATTCTAGATGTCCTCGGCTTGATTCAATACATATTGTGTGGAGTGAGCCAAGTCCTCCGTCAGATTCTCTCAGAAAATTTCTGGACCACATTGTACATCTGAACACTAGAGATGGGCGACAAGTTGAATTGAAATACGATATCAATAAGGAAGACAGTTTGAACAACAGATTTAAAGAAATTAAGGATTTGAGAACAGATGCCCTTTTTTCAATCGATGATGATGTTATATTCCCTTGTTCTTCAGTGGAATTTGCTTTCGATGTTTGGCAAAGTGCATCGGATACAATGGTTGGCTTTGTGCCTCGTATGCACTGGATTGATCCGGTATGCCTCAATATATACATTTTCTTGTTATTTAGAGAGAGTATTATCCAACATTCTTGCTGTCTTCTCTATATCTTAAGCTTCTATGCTGGAAAATTCGTATAAATTTCTGTTTGAGGTAGAAAGTTGGTTTTGATCTATTTGAGCTCGAAACTAGGTATTGTTCTTTACTTTTTAGGCTAGCCAACGTTTACTGAAGAAACACCGTTTCTTATTAACAATTTTGCAAACTCTGTATGGCACACTTGGTCAGCTGTCTTACCAAATATATGCTCACTGTGCAGAAAGGTGATAAGAATCACTACATATACGGTGGATGGTGGTCGGTTTGGTGGACAGGTACATACAGTATGGTACTGTCTAAGGCAGCCTTCTTCCACAAAAAGTACCTAAGTTTGTACACAAATGAAATGCCAGCATCAATCAAAGAGTTTATAACCAAAAACAGGTTTGCACTTTTGCTTTGTTCATCTGTTTCTTTCTTTTCGAATGCTTTCATCTTATGAGCTCTCTTTGCGGGTGTGCCGGTGTGCAGTGCGTGTGTTTAGCAAAAGTTTTTTCTTAAATATGGGGTTTGATTTCACCAGGAACTGTGAAGACATTGCAATGTCCTTTCTTGTAGCAAATGCAACTGGTGCTCCCCCTATATGGGTGAAAGGTAATCATATATCCTCTGCAATGAAATTGTGTTCGTTTTGGCTTTTGAAAACTTGGACAGGATGTTTCTGCATATTGTATTTTCACTTGTTGCATATCAGAAAGCGCTTTTGCAGTACCTTTGTCCGTTCACCGTTCATTTTTCATTTCTATTGTGGTATTTTCTTTCCTGATTGCTTATGTCTCGCTACGCATTACTGTACTTTTCATTCAGGTAAAATATTCGAGATTGGTTCAACTGGCATCAGTACCTTAGGAGGTCATACTGAAAAAAGAACCAACTGCGTCGATAGGTTTGTTGCCGGGTTTGGACGGATGCCATTGGTACCCACTTCCGTGAAGGCCGTTGACAGCCGCAACATCTGGTTTTGGTGATTCCACAGCACGCTTACATATTCCTCGATCAAATCCTCGAACAACAAGAATTTCCACACTTTCAACCGGTTCTTCTTTGTCCCTCAGATGTATAATATTGAATTCTACGAAATGTATGCGTTTTTGTAACAGCAGCCAGTTTAGTGCGCTCATGTAGATTGATAATTCTTGTATTCTTACCGTGTAACACAAGGCAGGCAGTCGCTATATGGGTAATGAGATAGGTCTTTCCGTGGAAATCTTCTTACCATTTCGGCCGAACGGTTGCGAAATCGTATCTTCTTATACAAAAACTTCATCCAAACTCAGCGTCAGATCATTCTTATTGCGATCAAACTGGATAACAAAACTGAGAGATTTCCATCAACTGATGGGTTGCATGTATTTATAATAATTTTGAGATTACATCAGGGGTTTATCAACCCTATTTAGACGGCAACATTTGAATTTGAACGATACAACATCTGTGAAATCAAACTTTCAAACATTGAAAAATATGCTAGACCTATCAGAATTATCCTTGGATAAGGACTGCATTCCTGAATAACAGACTTCAGAGTTTAAACATGAGCTGGATTCTTGATAACTCTGACTTGGTCTAACATACCCGTCATAATTTGTCAATTAGTTTTATGGTGAAACCTCAATTTCATCAGTTACCCTAGGATGTACTGAGAGGGAAGCAAGTATCTTCGGCGCCAGTGCTCCAGAGGAAATTGGCATATCTGGAGGCGTAATAGGGATTGTCTGGCTCCTCTGCCACTGCTTGCTGGTATCTCTCTTCTGCACCCCACAGGTCTTTCCTTACTATCCACAAGAAGTCCGCGTACCGGATCAAAGCCTCAGCGTCTGGTTTCTCCCCTTGCACGGCACGCCTGAAGCACTCCTCGGCCCTGCAAACGCAAACATAGATCACACAACACAGGTCAAACAAAATTACACGACAATTTGAGTCCTATCGTATGAAAAGCAAAGAAACAATTTGATCCTAACCGAAAATCCAACTCCGGTAGAGGTCTCGATGCTACAAAATCATCACAATTACATCATGCTTAGCTGCTCAAATTCGAAACCAAATCATTTACATAGAAATGTCGCTTGAAGCATCGAAAAACCTAACCAAATCTAGTCGTTTCCCAATGATTTTCGGTCAAGTTAGATTATGCAAAATAGTAAGCATATTGAAGCAGATAGTTTGATAAATGATGCTCACCTATCGTGATCGCGAGCCACGACATGGAGGAATTGTGCATAGTTTGAGAGCAGAAGTGCATTCTGAGGATCCTGAGCTAAACCCATCTGGTACAAAAGGTCAGTCCTAAAGTAGTGCTCATGATAATCCGGTTCGATATTCACAGTTATCGGTGACACGAATTGCTGCACCGTTGCGTGATCAAGAGCCTCATCCCTCATTTCTGACTGCCTTCTCGAAGCTTCCTCCATCACAGAGTTCCACAACTTCACATCCTCCTCTGCAGTGAACTCCTTATCATTGAACAAGGAGACACCATACATCTTCTCAAGATCAACAATGGCATGCCTGATTGAACTTTCCGAGGTCACATTGTCAAGAAAATCGGCCTTACTGCCCTCATTCGAGGTCTTTTTCACAACCCTAGTAGAATCGTTATCGGAAATATAATCGGGTTTCGAGTAGGGTTGTTCCTCTGTCTCAGTCTCGGTCAAAGTCTCGGCCATAACAGGCAGAGGTGCTGCAGCAACAACATTGCAATTCATCGAATACACACTGAAATTCGCCAGCAAGATCATCACGTAAACCATCAAAGTCGGCGACCCCGAAAACACCTGCTGGAACAACCATACAAATGACATGCTCATCTCTCTCTTCTGCACCGTCGCTATCACCTCCTGCAAATCTTCAGAGTACAAACTTTCCCTTATACTCAAAGCGTGGCTATGGAGCTCATGGATTATAAACACCATGGAAGAGAATGCCTTGTTCAGGGAGCAAGAAGTAATCTCCCCTGCTCCTCCTTTAGGACCCTCTTCCCTTTGCTGCCGCTGCTTCTTCTTGATTAGCCGGAGCGAAACCGGAAACTCGAGGCTGTTGGCCTTTCTTTCCATGGCGGTTCTGACGATTTCGCTTCTCTCCGGCCAGTCCGGCGGCTCCGGATGAATCCCGAGCAGAGAGGGTTCCAACGCACTGAACTTGAAGCTTGAAAACCGCGTCGAAAAGCCGCCGCCTTTGCTGTTTTCGCCTTCTGGGTAAGTCAAAATCGGAGAGATATTCGAGGTCTTCGACGCCACAAAAGCCGGTTCCTCGACGTTCTCGTCACCGTCCTCGGAAAGATTGAACCTTTGCGCCAATCCCTCAATCTGGTTCGACAATTCTTCGTACGAGAAATCATCAAACTTTGATCTGCAAGACTGGTTCGAAGTACGTCGACGTTTCAAATCACCCGACCCGGAAGAGTTTAACCAACGAACGAACCCGCAACCCAGAGCTCCACTGCTTCTTCCACATGGTTTTGTCACAGAAGGGAAAGAAACCGAAACCCACGACGCTTTCGACGAAGAAGAAGAAACTGGTGCTGAAATCTGCATCGTGCTCTGCCAGCTCTTAGAACAGGGTACGATTCTGGAACCCATATCTCGAAATCAACGATCAGAATTTGGAGAAGACGATTGAGAAATATGAAATACGGACAGGCCCAAAGCCGAAAATTGCAAGGAAGAAGACGAGTGGGAAAATGGAGAAAAAGCAGTTCAGTTCACACTGATAAAGTGACATGGGAACTCCCGTGTGCAACAAAAAGTGTAGCTGCTGGAGATATTTTTAAGATAATTTTTTTTTTTTTTGGATTTTTTTGGATCCTCCAAGAAGTGTCTAACTGGGTTCTAGAAGCCTCTTGATGAATAAGTTGCTTTTGCTTAGTATCCAACCTGACAAAAACGCATAAACACATTCTAAATTTCTAATCATGTTAAAAAAATTCAAAACCTTTGAAATCCAAAATCGATAAGGATTTGGATATTAGCATATAACTCTTCACTGTTCAGTGATATTTAAAATATGATACATTTGGTCTCTGAATCTGTTCAACGTCGATTATTTTGGTCATTCCGTGAAAATCTCTGTTAAATAAGGAGAAAATGGCAAAAAAATTTCACGAAAAAACCAAAATGATTGATGGTCGACGAATTCTGATACCACTTCTATCGATTTCAAATTTTAGGAACAAGGTGAGTAATTATGCCAGTCTCATGAACTATTTTGGCTAAAATTCCAAATATAAATTACCGAACAAAAACAAAAGATGTGCAGAAAAAAAGGATGCAGTTGCAAAAAAATTTGTTGTATGATAGAGAAATAATTTTCGCACTCAGATTTCGACATTATGCACTTGTCTTGCTCTTTCTACTTAAATATATCAAACGGAAATCAACGGAAATGAATGTGAATATCACACAATCCACGACCTCAAATTATTGAAAAAGAAAATCCGAAGAAAAATTTGGAAAACAAGGAATGAAAAAAACAATGTGTGAGATGAAGAGAACATTACATGATGGGAGACGATTATTTGGAGATCATTTCATGATTTCTCTAAACCATTGGAGCCATCGAGGAGCAGACAACCTCACCTTCAAATTTGTACTTGTATTTTCCTTCTTTTCTTTTCTTTCTGTTGGAATTGACAGAGAGACCCAAAAATTTTGTTGAGAAAAAATGGGCAAAAGATGGGAAGAACCAGAATAGGTTACAACTTTTTCAGGTTCTTTGTTTGTTGGCCGTAGAAAGGTATCACACTTACGTGGACAATTCCTATTGGTTCATTTCGATGATCAATTACTTTAAGATTTTTTTCCCTTACCACCGTATTTATCATGTTTGATGAGTTTAAATTTCGAGATTTATACAGTTGATAAATACAAATTTTAAAATTTAAACTCATATATTAGTGATAAATAAAGGGGTGTGAATTACAACTACTTAAAGATGATCAGCAAAAATATGCTCACTACTTTATATAAATAAGTTCGTAAATAATTTTTTCGAAAAAATAAGTTCTTAAAGTTTTTAGTGAGTGTAACCTGAGACTTGTGGTTTCAATACAAATATTATTCGTCATCGTCATTCGAGCTGAACTTGAATTCTTTCTGTCACATTGAGATAAATTTAGTGAATTTAATAACTTTGTGTATTGAAAAATAGTTTAGGAATTAAATTTTAAGTTAATTAAATAAAAAGAAAACTAATAAAAAGAACTTGAAAATTTTGAATTTTAACGAAAAGAACAAAATAAATAGTAAAGTGAATAGTATCAGGATTAACTTTTTATTTTTTAGTGTAAAAATATGATTTTTCGTTAAAGTAAACAGTACTGAAAGTTTTTCGTTAAAATCATCTTAAATGAATTAGTTTATAAAAATAAATAAAAATCCAAAATTTACAAGTTTGCCAGAAAACAAAGGGATTATCTTTTCCGTGTATAATGATTGCAGTCGGTAAGTTTCTTTTGATAGAAAAAGGTTACAAATTTGTGGAGTATGTCGTCACAGTACCGAGTCACATGCTAGGAGTCAGGACCATGTTTTTCTCCAGATGCAGCTGCAGTTGTCGATGCTACCGACTCAACTACACACGTCTCACCACGATACGTGGACATCTGTTGCTGTGCGGTTGGCTCCAACAAATTGTTTGCACCGCAGAAGTAAAAAGAAAACCAAATTCAAAACCTAAAAGAAGAAAATCATGAAACTCTTGGATTGGAAATTGCAACCCAAATGTACAAAGGAATGGCAATATCTTGATAGGTTGGCTTGTAAAAAAAATGGTCAATAGACCTAAACTGATAAGAAAAACACATTGGAAAAATCTTAACAATCAATGAGAAAAACACCTTGGATTAATCTAATTTTTGTGCGTGTGTGTTCAAATTGTTCCCAGTAAAAAAATAAGCCCAAAACCCACTCGGTAAATATAGACAATGATGTTCCTTATCTTTGTAAGCAATAACATAAAAGAGGTAACGACAAAAGGAGCAGGCGGTCGACGTGTGGGATCCCAGCCTGGAATTTCCAGGGTTGCGTCATGCGTGAGCAAAATTCCCATATTTTATATTTTCCCAAGCTCAAGCTCAGCCGCCCCATTGACCAAAAACAAAAAAGGCTCAGCCGCCTCAGCATTATTCACCAATAAGTTCACAGGTCACAAGCTACGATTGTGGATCCAAAAATGGAGCAAAGCAAAGGCAGGAGAGTCATCCTCTTCCCACTGCCCTTCCAAGGGCACATAAACCCTACGCTAGAACTGGCCAACATTCTGCATTCCAAAGGCTTCTCCATAGCCATCATCTACACCAACTTCAACTCCCTCAATCCTTCAACCCTAAATCCACACTTCACCTACCATTCAATCCCTGTTGACTTGACAGAAAACGAAAACTCCATCAAGGATCCCACCCTTCATCTTTCTATTCTAAATGCTAAATGTGTTGAGCCTTTCAGAGAATGCTTGGCCGGGTTGTTATCCGACGATGTTAATTCGGGAGGACCCCATTGCATGCTTGATCACGGATCCTATCTTCGACTTCACTCGATCGGTTGCAGAGAGCTTTAAGCTGCCGAGGATCGTGTTAAGGACCGGGGGTGCCGCTTCCTTCGCTGTTTATGCTGCATTTCCACTTCTCAAGGAAAAGGGTTACCTACCAATACCAGGTACAATCTCAAGCCAACAAAACCCTATTATCAAATGTTTTTTTCTCATCGTTGTTACTAATAAATGCAATATGAGTAGATTGAAAACACCACACCGAGACTAATGACTCGTTTCAAATTATTTTTATACGTAGCACTTTTATTCTTTGTTCATAAGAGATTATGCAATATGTACTTTTATTATAAACATGTCATTATTAAAAAAGAAAAACTAATGAAAATGGATTGAAAACTTTGAGTTTTAATGATAAGGATAAAATAAAGGGTAAAGTAAATAGTACCAGGTTTGATTTTTTAGTGTAAAAATATGGTTTTCATTAAAGTGAACTGTTGGCTTTTTGTTAAAACTCCCTATTAAAAACTCAGGTGATTCTTTGGAAAAAAAAACTTCAAAGTGATTATTATTCTAGTTCGTCTTCTTCTTCTTCATAAATCACTCTATAGATCCAAAAATGTTTTTGTTACCAGAAAACACTTTTAACACTTCTAGAAGTGATACTATTTTGGCACTTAGACAACTTATCCATATTTGAGTTAGGCTAATTAGTCAGTTTAGCATTTTTATTCTTTGCTCTACCTCCTCATAAATTAGCATTTTAGGATATGCATTAAAAGGCAAAATATATATACTTGCTAGGAACCTTATATTTGGCTTTTTATTTTGACAATTAGATTCTCGACTAGAAGAGCCAGTGACGGAACTTTTACCTATCAAAGTTAAAGATCTACCAATGATGGCTGATTGTGACCCTGAAGATTTCTATCAACTGATAACCAACATGGCAAATGAACCCAAGGCTTCTCATGGACTCATCTTCAATACTTTTGAAGATCTTGAAGGACAAGAACTTGCCACACTTCGCCAAGAATATTACCCCAATATTCCAATTTTCTCACTAGGGCCATTTCACAAGTGTGGCCCTACAACCTCTTCTTCTTCAACTAGTTTGTTAGCACAAGACCAAAGTTGCATTTCATGGCTAAACACTCAAGCGCCAAAATCTGTTGCTTATGTTAGCTTTGGGAGCATTGCCGAGATAGATCAAGTTCAATTTTTGGAGGTTGCTTGGGGGTTGGCCAACAGTGGCCAACCTTTTTTGTGGGTGGTTCGACCTGGATTAGTTCAAGAGTCGGATTGGCTTGAAGCGTTGCCTGACGGGTTTCTAGAAGCGTTGAACGAGAGGGCCCATGTCGTGAAATGGGCTCCACAAAAAGAAGTGTTGGCCCACCCAGCAGTCGGAGTCTTTTGGACACACTGTGGTTGGAATTCTACATTGGAAAGCATTTGTGAAGGCGTACCTATGATTTGTACGCCATGTTTCAGTGATCAAATGGTGGATGCAAGATTTGTGAGCGATGTTTGGAAGGTAGGGTTGCAATTGGAGCATGGGATTGAGAGAGGTGAGGTTGAAAGAACAATTAGAAGACTGATGGTCGAGAAAGAAGGGGAAGAGATCAAAGAGAGAGCCTTAAAGTTGATGGAAAAGGCAAATCTTTCCCTCAAAGAAGGTGGCTCTTCATACCAATCTTTAGATGGCTTGGTTAATCATATTTTATCCTTATAAATCGTTTGTTTTTGAAGATGGTAATCCATCATCTTTATCATATCCTTTGGAATTTTTCCATTTTTTTCTCTTGCCCGCTTACAAATGGTTAATTATCTTTTTCTTTATACAAGCACTATTGATGAAATAATTATCAACCCATTATAAATAGTCAACCTAGTAGTGGATCTAATTATTAAAGGTTAGACTAGAGAGTAAGTTGATCATCGAGAGGAATGAGGTTCAAGCCAACATAACTAATGAATCAGCCGAGCGGAAAACTAACTTAGTTGATTAGAGATCCCATGGTCTAAGTTCAATAGGCAAATTGGTTGGACATGATTCAAAGAAGTTAACACATTATATACCTCATTCCTATTATGGAAGAAGTGTGTTGTCTGCAGACGTTTTAGGTTGTATATTTATACTTAATGACAGTGATATCTTATAAATAAGAGGAATAGAGCAAACTATTTTTAATCAGTGATCACCTATGTGAGAGTAGAAATGAGTTGCTTCTATGAGTATGAGATGGCTAAATTCTCTAAAGCTCTCATGAATCCGGGATTTGTTCAGGACCAAAATGAACACAATCGTATGAACCGGAATATATTAGGATTAGTGATGTGTATTGCTTATTGTCTCGGTTTACTGTTGTGGTGAAGTGTTCAAGATTCCATATCTATTGCATCACCAAGTAAATCCATTAAGTATTCACCAGGGTAGGTTCAAGTCCAAAAGACACATTTCCCGATGCATCTCTTGTCATCATGTACTCTCAAATTCTTCCTAATTTTTCAGTCATGTGGGGGATTGTGGGAAATTATATATTATAATTAATATTATAATATTTAATTTTTGTATGAATGAAAAATAAAAGTCATGTGTCATAGTTGAATTCAAACTCATGAGTTGTATATGTTCGTTGGAACTTTAGACAACAGTCATACTGTTTCAAAAAGGGTGGCTTGAGTTCTATATAAACTCAAGCATCCCACGTGTCTAATAGAATTAAGAGAAGAGTTTTCTCCAATGTCTTTGTAAAAATCTGAGTCGTATCTTAAGGGTAAATAATATATGAAGTTCGCCAGAGTCCGAAGATTGAAGTGTTTTGACTTCGGATTATAGATCGTTGAATCCTGTGTGACGAACGCCTACCGAACTACAAGCAAAGAGTAGGGACGAAACTATGTCTTTAGGACATTACATTTATGCAAGCCTCAATCTCCAAGTTTGTCAGTTTTTCTAACTTTCTCTCTCGTTGTTTATATTAATTTTGTACACATGTGATGTTGTGAATCTTTTTATAATAATTATTATTGTAATTGTTGTTATTTTCATATTTTCTAATATTGAATACCCATAGATTTATTAAAAAAATTAAAATCCCTTAAAATTCCAATTGAATACACCTCAAAGGAAATATTTCAAGATGTTCATAGATTTGAGTATAATAAGTGTACACGTACGAGGATCAATTCGATCACAATACTCTCGGTCAAAACATCACGAAGAACATCCGGTGTTTCCTCAAACCAACACAACAGTAATCTATATGAAGAGAAAAACCATGTTCAGTGAGCCGTTGCAGCAGCACCTTCGGATCTGGAGGGACTTCAGTATGTTACTTCATAGCTTCACATTTTCTATTTTGGACCCAAGAGCAATTCGGGCCCATCTCCCTAAGTAATTTGGTAGAAGCCCTAAGTAATTTGGTAGAAGCCCAAGTCTTCAGTCCACTGTCTTTCACTTGCAAAACTGAGTTGCGCCCTAGTTTTTGTTAGCGTGAGTCAAACATATTTTGTATTTATTTTGAATATTATAATTCTCTTCTTATTAGGAATTTCTTGTATACTTATTGGATTCTATATCACCCCTCCTAGAGAGCAAAATACATTAACCCAAATTATTTGACTAGTTTTTATCTGTTTTTCGTTCTACATTTCAGTTATGGATGAATCTCCAACGTGGAAATCATTAACAAATGCGTTGTCTTAGTTCACTTGGACAATGCGTTGTCTTAGTTAAGTGAGACGATGCGATTCGCTCCTAAAATAGAGTTAGAGTACGAGCTACATGAATCGCCATCAAATTTCAACTAAGTCTAAATGAGCTGATATACCTACCCCGTTGCAAATTTTCATAACTTACGTTGTAGACAACCGATATTGATATATCATCAAAATTTTCATAAATTTGCATATCAATATTTAAAACATTAGTTGTGCCCTAGTTTTTGTTCACGAGAGTCCATATTTAATATTATAATTCCCTTTTTATTATTTAGGTAGTTTTCATTCTACGTTTGATTTATGGAAGAAACTCGAACGTAAAAACCACAAACAAAAGTATGGTTTTAGTTGAGTAAAAATCACAAACAAAAAGTATGGCTTTAGTTGATTGGGACAATGCGTTGTCTTAGTTAAGTAAAACGATGCGATTCGCTCCCTGAATAGAGGCAGACTACAAGCTACAAGAATCACCATCAAACAAGCATGCATTGTTCTCCCGGGCTCATAGCATTGGCTTTGATAAATAACAAATGAAATATTTTATAAGAATTGGTAATATTTTACAAGATCTGATGATCCAAAAACAAAACTAGAAATAACAAAAATCCCAGGACGGGGAAAAGCAGTAAAAAGAATATTCGCATTCAGGAGTTTACAAGTGTCGGTCCAACACAACACGAGTTGGCAGACCGAGTCAATCTCCAACCCCCAAATCAGTCAAGGCTTCTGTCTCTCACTGTTTCCGCCTGTCTCCGCCGTGTAACCCGTGATTCAAACTATCCCCCAAAAACGTCTTCGCCGCGTCCAAGCTCGGAAAATAAGTCGGCTCCAGAAATATCCGACTCAGCGAGTCACACGCCTCCGGACTCACCACGACTTGGTTCCCCTTCGCCTCCAAGCTCCCCATCAACACCACCAGCACCTGCTTGTACGCGTAGTAGAATCGCTTCAAAGCCGACTCAATCGCCTGAAGCGCCTGCAGCAAGTGGATCTTCTCCGAGACGGATTCCGAGTCTGACTCGGCTTTCTTCTCCGAGTACAGCCTCATCGCCGCCTCCTGAATCCTGGGCCCTCCCTTGGGGTCCACCTCAACACCCAGTATGTACGGCACCTTATGCCTCAGCTCCTTGCAGAGCTTCGTCACCTCCACGAGCGCCTTCGATCTGAAGCAAAACGACTCCGTATCGTCCACTGTCTTGATCCGCAGCTGGTTCTTCAGCCTCAGAAAATCGGCCGGGTCCATCAGAAGGTGAAGATCCTCCATCTCCGCGAGGAGCTTCCATATCCGTTCGATCACGTAACAGTCGCTCGCGGCCTTTTCCAAGTCTCGAGATTCGATGCGGCTTACCACGCGCATGAGAAGCTCCCGGCAAACGTGGACCCACGACTCGAGGACCTGGTGCGTGGCGTACACCGTCTGGTTCTCGTAGTTGTCGACATGGGCGTCGTACGGGCTCTTCCTCAGGGAATGCAGCTCGCTCGGCTTGCATACGGCGTCGTAATCCAGGTTCGGCTTCCCGGCGAGGTTCGGCTCCCCCAGGCCCAACGAGTACGGACAGTTACTCATCTCGCACTCGATCGAGTACAGTATCTTCTGCGCCATCCCTTCCGATTTCTGCCACGTGGCGAGCCGAGGTAGCAAGCTGACCTCGCTGGTGCGGCTGACCACCGTGTGCTCCCCCGAACTCCACACCTCCGCCATGCTCCCGTCGCGGGCCAGCTCCCCGTTCGACGTGCTGAGATCGACGATCGGCGCCAATCCGCGCGTCTCGCTGTCTTCCTCGTCGTCCTCGATCAACATCGCGATGAGCTGTATCTGGCTGGTAGAGAGCGACTCAAGCCGGCGCTTCCACTCGCGCCGGTTTGAGTACGGTCTAGGGTCGGACAAAACGGTCGAGACGAACCGGAACGAGATTTCGAGAGCTTGGAGAGCCGGCTTGAGAATCGACTCGTTTTTCCACGATGGAAAGTCGTGGGAGCTCCAGAACTCTCGGAGCTCCGGGAGGCGGAGGTAGTGCTCGTAGGTGGAGCAGGACATTTCGGAGGCGGCGGAAATATCGGTCTGAACTTGGGCGGCGGAGCGAAACGAACCGGGAACCGAGACGTGGAGCTTGGTGGAGAGTTTGGAGGATTTGCTGGGTATGTTGGAGGAGACCATCTTTGCTTTCCAATCTAAATCTACCATTTGAGACTTGTGAGAAGAGAAATGAATTTTGAAAACGTTTTTTTTTTTTTCGTTTTTTGAGAACTTTTGGATTTAGGATTTGAGTTGTGTTTGAAACGAAGGAGAGAAGAGAGGGGGGTATTTATAGGGCAGCGGGAATTGGGGAGAAGAAAAGGCGTGTGGAATTTCGGGGTGGTGGGTGGGCATGAAGAACGACGAATTTGAAAGTCGTTTTTGGAAATTAAATTTAAATAAATTTAAATATATATATATATTTTGGACACTTGAAGCTTATCCATATCACCGTCTGCTTGTCCAATTTATTCATTCATTTTCTTAGTGTATTATATCGGAATAGATTCTTTTCACCAAATTCATTAAATTAAAGGATTCAGATTTTTGAAATTTAATCCAACGGTTAAAGTTATTATAACTTTTTAAGAAATGACTTGTTTTTAACAGTTCGATCAAATTTTAAGGACTCGGATCCTCTAATTTGGTGAAAAGAATCCGAAGAAGATCCATTTCTTATTATATCCATGTACATAAACAAATAATTGTATTCTAAAGCCATCATGTTAGGAATTGTTTGGAGAGTGCTTTTAAATAATTGAAAGTATTTTTAAACAAAATATTTTTGAAATCAAGTTTTAGTAAAAATACAAGTTAATTTTGAAAAAAAAACACTTGAAGTACTTCATTCAATGAGCACCATAACTGTGCTTCTTGCAAGAACACTTCAAACGCTTTCAGAACCCAAAAATAATTTCTCTAAAAAACGCTTTCAGTCATCAAAATACACTTCCCAAACAAGCCGTCATTGTTTTATTTAAAGACATTTTTTTTTAATATATTCTTCAAATGAGACATATTAATTTGGTGATATGTGTATTATTATACGCATAATAGTAACATAATATGACTGTGTTTATGATGTACGAAAAATTTCTCAAAAAATGGAGAAAATAAATAAAAATTAGAAATAATGAAGAATAAGAAGAGGAGGAAGGAAACTGCGTATATATGTTTGAAATGGAATTGTCGAACGTTTGACTTTGGTCAACGTTAAGCGACGTCCATGATCCATCTACAATGCTAAACTGTTTTTTAATTCTTCTTTCGAAATAACACGTTTTCTTTCTGTCTCCACTATACACCCGACTTCCTAATTTTAATGACAGCTTTTTAAATTGCCTTATTAGGTAATAATAATTACGCATTGATTTACGGCTATATGTAATTTTCTTTGTTATTTTTTTATTTAAAAAAATGGAGAACTGGTGGCAAATCATGATTATCTATTATTTTCGAGAGCTGGGAAGACTCACATAGATATTTTAGTTTCCTCTAACCACAAGTCTAACTTCCACACCAGCAGCGGGTTTCGAACTCGAGACCTCCAATTTTTAGTTTGAATGGGGAACAATTTAGCTGACTGATTTCAAGTGGTAATGATGCTCATTATCTTATTTACCACTGTTAGATAAGTTTAAATTTGAAATTTGTATAGTAAATGAACATAAATTTTAAATTTAAACTCATCTATGGTAATTAATAGTGTTGATGCACAAAACCGGAGGGGTTTTGGAACAATATAAATCCAACCGTGAATCTGCAAGAAAGTAAATAACACAAGATGTATCATGGTTCACCCCAATGTTTGGACTACGTCCACACTTATGTTGATATTGTTTCACTTTGAATGGTGAATATACAAGAAGGCTAGAGGCAGTGTACTCTCTAGCCTATTTTCTGTGTTTGCTCTCTCTGAGGTGTTTTCTCTCTTCCCATGGCCTAAACCTTCACCTTTTCCAATGAGGAGAGTGAGGAGTCCTTTTATAGAATAAAGGCTCATCACTTATTACATATTTGCCCATTCATTTATTACATAATTACATTTGAGGCATCCGAGTATTTATACGAGGTCTAAATACAGAGGCTCTAAATATGGTACAAACAGTAGTCCCCCAAGTCTTCAGTCAAGAGAGTCTTTTGGCTGGAGATTTGAAACTTAGTCCATGTGTGGGCTGAAGTAACTAGATGTCGTCTATAACTGATACTCGATATGAGGCGGTGCTCAATGTGAAATGATGCTCAACTAGAAGTAGCACATGTTGCGAGGCTGCTCGGCTTGTGGCTTATGTTGCCTTGGTTGGCTTGGCTTGTGGTGTTGAAGGTGATGGAGTCCCTTTTATAGAATAAGGGTTCGCTCCTCAATACATAAATGATGGGCTAGAGTTGATACTCGGGCCAGGCAGTTGCTCAGCAGGCAGCAATGCTCTCTAATGATGGTGAGGGATTCCCTTTTATAGAATAAGGGCTCACTCCTCAATACATAAGTGATGGCTAAGAGTCTCTCTTTAATGAAGGTGAGGGAGTCCCTTTTATAGAACAAGGGTTCGCTCCTCAATATATAAATGATAGGTTATGAGTGATGCTCACGGCGAGGCGGTTGCTCAGCTGGCGGCGATGCTCTATAATAAAGGTGATGGAGTCTCTTTTATAGAATAAGGGCTCGCTCCTTAATACATAAATAATGGCTGCTCTTTAATGAAAGTGAGGGAGTCCCTTTTATAGAATAAGTGTTCGCTCCTCAATACATGAATAATGGGTGCTCTCTAATGAAAGTGAGGGAGTCTCTTTTATAGAATAAAGGTTCGCTCCTCAGTACATAAATAATGGGCTAAGTCCCCCAAGTATTTTTCATGAGGCCCAGTTGCGGATGCCCTAAATATATGGTACATAGTGTAGTCCCCCAAGTCTTCAGTCAATAGAGTCTGTTGGCTCGGCTTGTGGCTTATGTTACCTTGGTTGGCTCGACTTGTGGCGTTGAAGGTGAGGGAATCCCTTTTATAGAATAAGGGCTCGTTCCTCAATACATAAATGATGGGCTAGAGTTGATGCTCGCGGCGAGGCGGTTGCTCAGCAGGTGGCGATGCTCTCTAATGATGGTGAGGGAGTCCCTTTTGTAGAATAAGGGCTCGTTCCTCAATACATAAGTGATGGGCTAAAAGTCTCTCCAATGAAGGTGAGGGAGTCCCTTTTATAGAATAAGGGTTCGCTCCTCAATACATAAATGATGGGTTAAGAGTGATGCTCGCGGCAAGGCAGTTACTCAACTGGCGGCGATGCTCTCTAATGAAGGTGAGGGAGTTCCTTTTATAGAATAAAGGTTCGCTCATCAATACATTAATAATGGGTGCTCTCTAATGAAAGTGATGGAGTCCATTTTATAGAATAAGGGTTCACTCCTCAGTACATAAATAATGAGCTAAGTCCCCCAAGTATTATTCATGAGGCACAGTTGCGGATGCCCTAAATATATGGTACATAGTGTAGTCCTCCAAGTCTTCAGTTAATAGAGTATGTTGGCTGGAGACTTCAAATTCAATCCATGTATGGGCCGAAGTGGCGGTTGTTCAAAGGTGGTCTTTGTATACCATGCACTGAAGCTTTGTAAGTGAAGCTTTCAAAGTTGGAGATTTTGTAAATGAAGCTTTCGAAGATGGAGCTCTGTAAATGAAACTTTCGAAGCTGGAGCTCTATAAATGAAGCTTTCGAAGCTATAACTATGTAAATGAAGCTTTCGAAGTTGGAGCTCTGTAAATGAAACTTTCGAAGCTGGAGCTCTATAAATGAAGCTTTCGAAGCTAGAGCTATGTAAATGAAGCTTTCGAAGCTGGAGCTCTATAAATGAAGCTTTTGAAGCTGGAGCTCTGTAAATGAAGCTTTCGAAGTTATAGCTCTGTAAATGAAGCTTTCGAAGCTGATTGACATGAGTGAAGTTCATGGATGTTGACATGAGTGATGCTCATGAATGTTGACATGAGTGATGCTCATGAATGTTTATGTATGATTGATATGAGTGATGCTCATGTATGATGGTGATTGTCATAAGTGATGCTCATGTATGATTTTTTGGCGGACGGGTTGTACTTTTAATTACCTGGTTGGTGATAATAACGGCATGCTGCTGAATAATTTTGAAGTACTGGACGTACTTTTGATCACCTGGTTGGTGATAATAGCGGTAGGCTGCTAAATAATTTTGGAGTACTTGACGTACTTTATAATTAGTTATCCTAACACAAATAAAATAATAAGATATTAAATAAACAATGATATTGAGAAAACATAATGATGGGTTTCTTTCAAGCATGGCCGATAGTAATTATATAATTAATAATAGAATGATAACAGATGGCAGACGGAATAAAAACTTATCTTTCTTTTGAATTTGGTGGTCTGTAGCTTTTGATAAAGCTTCATGCACGTTCTAGGCTGGGAAGGTTGCTTTTAGTAGCTAGCAGATGTTGGAGAATGGACTCACTGCAGGACCGGACCACTTCTTTCCACTTTCCTCCTCAGCTTTTCTCCATCTCCAGACATTTTTTTTCTTTCTATATTCTTTTCTTCCCTTTTTCTTTTTTCTGCTACATTGCAGGTTTACAACATGGGTGAGCAGCGTAAGAGGATAAGCTTTGTCAGAAGCTAAAACGCAGCGTCTCGAAGCTCAGAGACTCACTGGGTTGAGATTCCAAACTCGAAGGATCTGAGTTGGGAGCTGGAATCATGAGATGAAGAAAGAGATGATCATTAATGAAGCAAGAAGCATCAGGTCCACCGTGTCCGTTGAGATACTAAAGACAATGTCTCCAGTTCTAGTGTCGATGTCGAAGAAGCCGACGTCCTGTTTCAACACGACCTCCAGATACTTCTTCTTCAGCGTGTTCACCTGTCTCTCACCGGTGTACATCCAGTATGCAATCTCTGCGTAGGATGTTACGCATACTATGAGATCGAGATACACAAAGTACAGAGCATACTTTGCTACTTCTGTGGTCATTTTCTACAAATTCATTTGGTTTTCGCCGAACCCGCTAACCATTTCCTCGAACATGAGGAAGAACACCGGCATGGAGGAGCCGTGCACGACGGCGCCCAAGCTTTCAAAGATCATGAGGAGCCAATCGTACTTGTCTGCAAAGGAGAACAACTGGAAAAAAAGGGTAGGCTCTGCTCATTCATCTTCTCCGCCTCCGAGAATGTCTTTGCCTCCGCCATTGCAGCAGCTCAGCTACTAATGGGTGGCCGGAGCAAACAATTAGTAATAAAGTGAACCTTGCCACCAGTTTCCTCTCGAAGCACTATTTGCATCGTCCTCACTGCCATCTTTCTTAGAAGTATGATGCTGATGGGATTCAGTGGTCCCAGTTCTTGGACTATAATTTTCTTGGCCGCCATAATAGATAGATGAACTCAGGTTGCATGGATCCGTAGCTTCGTTTTGATACATATTGGAAGCTTTGCTGGTTTTGTTTTCACCCTTATTATCAGAAAAACTTGGACTCCCGTACATACTAGCTTGATCTCCAAAATCCTGCCTTCTCTCTTTCCCAACTCCCGTTGAGGGGACGGGTGGGAAAATGGAGCCAAAGAATCCGGAAAGGGGATAATGAAGAAGATGACGACGAGTCTTTGAGACTAAATAAATGATCCAGACTCCTTGATGATGACGAAGAAGAAGAAGAGCCATGGCTTGCACCACTTCCCACTTTCTTCTTGTTCTCTATCGTAGTTAATTAGTGAACTGAAGCTAAAGCTGGTATGTTACAAAAGCTGCTTTCAGCTTTGTCAACCAACGAACATATTCTAACTACTGCTTTTTGATAGTTGTTGATAGTTATCTCTTAATGGTCAAAGACTCAGAAGCAGAGATTGGATAAGGTTTGCAGAATAAGGATTCAGAAACCAACAACTTAAAGAGATAAAATTGGAGGGAGGGCAGATAGGAAGCAGGAAAGAGCACGTGAAGTTTTGCAGATGTCTGAAAATTGGCCGAGGAAATCGCATCGTTGAAATCCTTATGCATCTGCAGATTCTAGTCTTTTTTAAATCCCTGGTTGCAGATCGAGTAGGATCTCGAGTTGTGTAGATTCATGGTGGACAATTATGAAGTTTTCACGGTGGTGAGATGAAAAAATGAAAGAGAACCGACATAACTTTTCGTGTCGTTTCCCACAGAAGGCGCCAAATGTTGATGCACAAAACCGGAAGGGTCTTGGAACAACATAAATCCGACCGTGAATCTGCAAGAAAGTAAAGAACACAAGATGTATCGTGGTTCACCCCAATGTTTGGGCTACGTCCACACTGATGTTGATATTGTTTCACTTTGAATGGTGAATATACAAGAAGGCTAGAGGCAATGTGCTCTCTAGCCTATTTTCTGTGTTTGCCCTCTCTGAGGTGTTTTCTCTCTTCCCATGGCCTAAACCTTCACCTTTTTCTAATGAGGAGAGTGAGAAGTCATTTTATAGAATAAGGGCTCCTCACTTATTACATATTTGCCCCTTTATTTATTACATAATTACATTTGAGTTCCTCGAGTATTTATACAAGGTCTAAATACGGAGACCCTAAATATGGTACAAACAAATAGGATGATGAACGCTACCACTATTTAAGTATAAACTTTTATTTGATAAGGTTAAGCTAAAGTTAGAAAGGTAGTTTAATATTTCTTTTTCTGGATATGTCTTACAATCTAATTGTTATTACAAATTACACTTTATCGATAGGTCGTCTATTGATTAGATAATTGTTTAATATTTCTATACTTTTAGCTCTTGAGAAAGTTTTTAATTTGTCAAAAATATGACTTGGTATATTATGTCATCATACATAAAGAGAGATACTTGAAAGTACAATTGTCTTTCTTTAGATAATAACATGTGGTGTGTTGAATATCAGAATACGCAACAAACGAGACTAACAAAATAATAGGAATATTATTAAACTAACTGATAATGCCGGAACGGCTACAAAGCCCTAAGAGACTACATTGTGAATAACTTGATTTCTAATGAATAACAAAGCACTCTATTTATAATAAACTAACCCTAAACCCTAATGCTAACGGGCTAAGCCCAGAAAACCAAATATTAAAGTAAACCTAAATACTAATATTTTCCAACACCCCCCGTCAAACTCATGGCGGTATACGACATGGGTTTGCAAACAAGCAGATGCGGACTGGCTCCGTTAAGCGGACAGACAGACAGGCAGGCGTTGCCGCAACGCGGACAGACAGACAGGCAGGCTCTGCAACGCGGACAGACAGACTCCGCAACGCGGACAGACAGACAGGCAGGTACGCAAACTTGACTTGACTTGATTCTTGACTTGATTCTTGATTGCAAACTGGCAAATTGGTTCTTGATTCTTGACTGGCTAGTGTTGAGAGTATGAAAAGAACCCGTCACTAAACGGACGAGATTTTCATATTTCAATTCTAGCAACGAACAAACAAACACAAATACTATCACTCGAATGGTCACAATTCCAAGTACTCAAATGACGATCATAAAACAATTCCAAACAGGCCAACCAACAATTCATGGAGGCCTAAAACAAACTTAACCATACTTTCCCTGCCCGTGTGGGCCCATAAACAAACAGCCAATTTTTTTTTCTTTCTCCTGGGACTTTTCGAATGCTTTCCTCCAACAAACAACATAACTTTTTCTTGCATTGGACAATAGTTTTTCTTTTTCTTTCTTTTCCTTTTTAATAGAAAATTAACACAACAAAAGCAAGAATGGGTACTGGTGAATGGTTCAGACGAACGGCTGGGACTGGGTTAGGTTGCAGCGATGCGGGTGTGAGTCGGGTTGATCTGATATGGTGCATGTATGGTTCTGTCGGTGCTGGTGCTAGGCATATGCGAGCAAGTGTAGCGAGGATGGAGAGATTTAGGACTGAGTTGCAGGTGATGGGTCGGCGCCGGAGATTCAAGTGGGTCTGGCAACGGGTGGTGGTGTGGCTGGTGTTGGATACGAACGGCAGATGTGCTGGGTTTCTAGTTGCAGACCTGGTACGAAGGCTGATGGCTGGGTGACGATGCAGCGGAAGTGGGGCAGATTCTGGTGAGTCGTCCGAGCAAACATAATCAAATTTTTTTCTTTTCAAAACGAACACTGAAAACTATTATCAAACAAACGACATGGATACCTATCAAGAACAGATTAAATCCCGAAAGATCAAACCTGCTCTGATACCATGTTGAATATCAGAATACGCAACAAACGAGACTAACAAAATAATAGGAATATTATTAAACTAAATGATAATGCCGGAACGGCTACAAAGCCCTAAGAGACTACATTGTGAATAGCTTGATTTCTAATGAATAACAAAACACTCTATTTATAATAAACTAACCCTAAACCCTAATGCTAACGGGCTAAGCCCATAAAACCAAATATTAAAGTAAACCTAAATACTAATATTTTCCAACATGGTGTACCGTTTATTTTGAAGACATTGATAGTCTCTCCTAAGTTTCACCATGATAGGAGGATTAACATAAGGTTCTCAACCGAGGAAACAAGTTTGCATAGTTTTAGATAAGTCGAATCAAATACAATGTTTTTTTGTTTTTTATTTATTTTTGTTTTTGTGGTCAGTAGTTGTAGCCGACTTTTAAAGAAGACCATTAATTTATTCAAGTTCCTTCTTTGGATTATTCGTGAGTTGTCCCTTCACAAAAATCGGTTGTCATCAACATTTTATAATACAAGAAATTGTTTGTTGACGTTTCCAATTAATAAAAAAATCTGAAGAAGGTGACATGAGTTTATGTGGCCAGAATTCCGAATCTGGCAGGGCGGATGAACAAGGGAACCAAAGGGTTTCAGGATTACTCAGAATGTAAAAAATATACATGTAAAGGTCTTTGAGGAATTTTCGAATGTTTGATAAGGATTATTTTTGTGTTTATTAAGTATTTGATATAATAACTGATAGACATATCTCGATAGATTGCATCGACAACACTCAACAAATACTCAATATCACTCATCAGAACGCTTCAACATATATTGATATTTGTTGACATGTGCGCAACATGGTTTAACTAAAGACAACAAGGCAACTAAGTGATCGAAGAAATGACTCAATGAATATATTATTATTTTTTAAAAGGAAAACTAATGAAAATGGTTTGAAAACTTTGAGTTTTAATGATAAGGACAAAATAAAGGGTAAAGTGAATAGTACCATGATTGATTTTTTAGTGTAAAAATGTGGTTTTTCATTAAATTGAACAGTACCGGGAGCTTTTCGTTAAAATTCCATTTTTTAAATGCTTCGCACTCTATTTTTTATCTTGAAAACTTAAACATTTAATATCGAAACTCCAAATGTTCAAATTCTGAATTCCCCTTTGATTGTCAGTTAAGTTTGGATAGGATTAAGATGAGGGACACAAAGTCTGTCCAGACATTTAGGAAGGGAGAAGGAATACGACTGCAGCCGACTCCGGCTAATTTTATACCACGGCCTGTTTGGTCCGCCTACTCACATTGAATTAAAGAAAGCAAGTAAACGCCAACTGTGTTCGGAAGAGCACTTTGGATAGGATTGTATAGTTTGGAAGTGTTTTGCCTTCGTTAGATATTGGAGCCAATATTTAGTCCCATTGGCCATCGATATTGCCATATTAAGGTGATTAAATAAGGCAACTTGATTAGGGGTTTGGTTTCTTTTGTAATTACTCGATGCTAATGTCCAAAAAAAGTTATAATTATTTGTTACTCGATGCTAATGTCCAAAAAAAGTTATGAGGGCAACACGAATATCCGAATTTTTTAGAGGATTATTTGTTAAGTTATAATTAAGTTTATTGAGAAACAAAATAGAGAAGTTTGTTGTTACTCTGATCAAAGTTTGTAGCATATCACGATTGATATTCTTTATGGAATACATAAAAAAAATAAGAGACGATATGAGATATTTCCTGCAATTGTAGTTTGTTGTTTTGTGTAGAATTTTAGAATTATTTTTTCATTATACACAAAATGCGACCACATAATGCACAAAATATGATCTCATACAAACATGAGCTGAAGTTTTAAAAGAAAAACAACAACGAGAGTAAAAAATTAAGAAAAATGTGTTAGATTAGAAACAAAAATATAGAGGTTTGTTGCTACTATGATCAAAAGTATGTAGCATATCACGATTGATATTTACGGAATACATATGAAATGAGACATTTCATGCAGTCGGAGTTTGTTGTTTGGTGTAGAATTTGAAAACTATTTTTTTTTTTTTTTGTCATACAACGAAATGTGGACACATAAACACCTAACTCAAATATGATCTCATGCAACCTTATTTATGACAATCCGAACTCTCTTTGAGCTAATATCTGCAACAGTTTCTCTAGAATTTATTAGCTCTTAATTTATCTATTTTAATATTGAATGAAATTTCATGTTCGAACCTTTTTCTCTATTTTCAGAAAGGAAAAACAAACCCTAAAGGATTACGTTGTACGATTGGATTGAATAAGCCATTTTGAAATAAATATCCAGCCACTTGGGAATCCTCAGCTACTGTCTTATTCAATATTTGTTCAATTACTCTTTTACGTGCAAATACAATATAAGCATTGGGTTCCCCAATAATGATATCTCCCAACATACAAAAATTAGCCATCACCCCGCCTCTGGTAGGGAATGTAATCTAGGATTTGAACGAGGGATTTGGGCGTTTGCATGTTTTGCATTACACTCAAAGGATTCCAACGTTTACCCTAAAAAAATGTGTTTCTTTTGCATTGTTCTCATATTATTTATCAGAAA